ATTAAAATATTTTATTTTAATAATATGAATTAGATTATTTTTATTTTTTGTGATATTTTATTAAAATAATATAATTTTAACATTATTTTTTTTATTTTTAAAAAATAAAGCAAATAAACATCAACCTCTTAAGATATTAAGTAATAAATTAAGAATTATTTATATTTATCCTTTTCTTTTTTATTGAACAAGGATAATTTAAGAAAAAGGAAAAGGGAATGAGTTCAATTTATGGGTTGAGAGAAGTAAGTCAAGTGACAATATTCAAGTAGTTAATAAAACTTAAATTCTTAATTAATTCAATTCAAATACTAAAATTTGAGAATAAACCATTAAACTCAAATAGTCGATTTATCATTTCACAGTTTCAAGTACATATATTAATTATGATTATTTTTTAAAACCGTTTCATATTCTTTTTATTGGCTCTATCTTGATAATTTGTAATTTAATTAACTACTCTATACATTCGATATAATTTATTCTCAGGACGAAAACAGGACATTTTTCCTTTTTCTTTCTTGAACCGGAAAATTGAATTCCTAGTTCATTTTTTCCTTTCCCCTTTTGATTTTTTGTTTTTAGTCTTCAATTTTTATTTCTTTTTCTTTTTTCATTTTTTTTAAACTGTGATACTGATTGATACCGTAAGTTTGTAACTCCTTTTGGGATGCTTGAAACTAAAGAGTGAAAATTAACAATTAAATGGTGTGATGAAACACTATTATTAAGCTTGCCAGCATCCCTTTATATCATTATGAGCTAGAAATTAAAGATTCAAATGAGAAAAACAAACGATATGCCTCTTTGAGTTCGGGGTTAATTTGCTAAAGCAAAATATTGTAAACCATGCTAATCTCAATAATTAAGAATACCTAATTGTGGTAATTTGAGGAAGTGGAATTTCCATCATTGCAGCTGGGAGATTACCCTCTCAGGTGGAGATTTTCCATATATAATTACCCCACTTTTAAAAATTTTTTTAATTAAAAGTATCACACTTTTATTAAATTAATTAAAGTTATCATTTAAAAAAAAATTATGCAATGGTATTATCTTTTTAATTTTACTATTTAAGGATTAATTAGATACCAATGCTGACTTGGCAAATGAATTTCGTCTGTGAGACCCATTAAATTGCTGATGTGTAAAAAAATTAATAAGTGGCTGCTCGGAGTTGGAGCTGAGTTGGACAGCAATCATAAGTGTCGACACCAAAAAAAGTAGTGTCGGCACCCAACCCGTGTCGAAGGTTCTCCTTTTATTCATTTTAACAAAAAAATATAAAATTAAAAAAAATCATAAGCATAATAATAACTATATAGATTAGTTAAATACAATAAGATACATTATATAAATTTATTAAAACTAATTTATCATTTGAATATATTATATAAAATATTTTAAATAAAA